GAAACCCACGGCATCTTACCAGGGCCCGGCAGCCCCGGGGGAGCGGACGCGCAGACCGGCCCCTCTTCCAGAGGGAAAAGCCACGTGCTGCCAGGAAGCTGCTGCTCTCCACGCATCGAGCCAGGGGACAGGGACGGAGCTGAGCTCGGGCGGGCGGCCGCCTGAGCTTCCCTTACGCACAGCCTAGGAAATCGCTTAATGCGCACAGGCTCCTCGGCAGCAGGGCAGCGACTGCAGGTCGGCGGGCTGCACGTGCGCCCCCGCCGTCACGCTTCTGCACGCCTCTCCTTCCCGAGGGCAGTTACTAGCTGCAGCTTTGAACCGCCCTCTGCCATAACGTTTACGGCAGTGAATTACAAAAGCCTTTAATGCAAATGGCCAAAACGGACACGACGACGTGGCCTTGACAGTCCTAAGAACCTCCTGAAGGAAAGAGCGGGTACCGGATATTGAGTTCTTCCCAAAAGATCCCACGAGGATAGAGCCAGCCGATTTGGCTGGCAGAAAAAGATACTAACAACAAAAGGAACAATAATTTGCGTTCCCAAGCAGATCAAAGATGCAACCCTTTGTTCCAGGCTTTTGCTCACGTGAATGTTTGACGAGCAGAGAAGCAAACAGCCATTAACATCATCCCTGCGCCATCCCTGCTTCATGCTCCAAAGCAATCCTGCCAGCAAGCACAAAGTCCTAAAATGTCTTTTGCAACTAGGAAACATCTGAGAACCAAGCACCCAGTTTGAGCTGAATTAGCCACTGAGCGTCAACCACAGTATGAGGGCTATGGAGAATGCTTTGGTCCTCATGCTAATTTGCTGCAACTAAACCTGACAATATAATCCCTACTCCTTATTAACCACATCTTGACTTTTCACTGGTTTTGTAACCATCCTGGAAATAAACACTAAACCTTGCTCTATTTGCTTCATGACTGTTGGGAGCCTGTATTGAGCAAAAAAAAAAAAAAGAAAAAGAAAAAAAAAAGAAAAAAACACTTACAAGCAAGCTTACAAATATTAAAAGCAGTGTTTTAATGAACAGCACGGATCCCTCTCACCCACTGGGCAAGTAAACGCGCTTGAGAAATCCAGAAGCAGCCAAGTCTGTTCAATGGAAGTTTTGCCGTTTGCTGTGATGGGACATAAATCCAGGCCGGGGGGACACAATGCTCAAAATACCTGCTCCATCCTTCCCTCTTCCCATCCCTTCCTTCCTTCCTTCCTTCCCCTGAGGGGAAATGGAGCGTCCCTGTGAGCGTCCCTGACACTCTCATTTCTCCAGTCCCAAGAACCACCGAGACCCGAAAACTCAGTGCAGCTTGGCAGTACAAAGTCCATGCCTGTTGCACCTAGCCCTGAATGCATGAGCAAAGCAGGGCACTTTCATCCCCGTGGACATGGAGGACCACGAACTGAGCGAAATACCCCTCAGCACAGCCTGTAAGGAACAGGATGAGTGTGAAAGCAAAACCTTACTGGAGGAATGAGAAGCCCCCAGACCTTTTTCTCGGCAGATCTTTGCCGCAGGCACGCAGCCGAGCACAAGCGTGCGATGCAATGATGTTCTGCGTTTTCCCCTTCCTCTTGCCCCCTCTGAAGGTCACACAAGGACATCCCTTTCTGCTCCCACAAAAGCCTTCCTCCCTTGCAGGATTCTTCATAAGGCAAAGAGCACGAGCTGCCCCCACCCTCTGCTTTTCCCTGAAAAGGGGGCAGGCGACTGCAAGGCTGAAATTTCAATAAAAAGCAGCTTGAGATGGAGGCAGATGAGATATCCCAGCTGTAATGTTCAGAGGAAATCATCCTGCAAAGCACAGCTCTTGGTAAGAACTGGAATTAAAATTCCCTTAAATAAATATAAGGAAAGAATCCATGCGGGAGAGCAGCCGACGGGTACAAGGAGACGTGCTCAGCACAGCCCATCGTCCATCGCCTCCCGATCTCCCCAGACCGGTGGAGCCGAAGGCTGGGCCAGCGGAGGACCGGCGGCTTCTGGTCACTGCTCCTACCTTCGCCATCTGCGAACAGAAAGAGCCGTGAGCCTCCGCGGTCGGGCGCCAGCGCTGCCGCACAGCCCAGCAGGTACCATGAGGGAGCAGCACAGCGAGAGCCGCCGGACCAGGCTCCTCCGGCTGTTTGTCCGTCTGCATGACTGGGAGGGGAGGCAGAGCAAGGTGAGGACAACTGTCCTTCCCCTCTGCAGCCCAGTGCAAGAAGGCCAAAACATCGGAGCCCAATTGCACCACTGGCTGCGCAGTTGGAGGGACTTCTCCTTCCTAGTCATCTACTGGGGGGACAGCAACAGTTCCTGCACTGAGAGAGGCCTCCAGGCTGGAATTTGGCCCAGCGTTGTGCTCTCTGCAAGGAGAGATCATGCCCTAACGGCGAAGGCCTCTGCGAGGAAACTGCGGCTTTGAAGGACACACAGAGCAGTTGTGACATCCTGCTCTCCCAGGGACAGGCCATGGGATACTTACATCCGCAAACACTTATCTTTCCCTCCACTCGCTACCCTCTGTCCGTCCGGGCTCCAGTCTGTTGCAAACACCTAGTATTAGAGGGAGACCCAGTTATTTCTGCTGTCACAGGAGGAGTCACTCCTGCCTCGCTCAGGTGGCTCAGCTCGCCCAGATGCCTCACCTCATCTGCGTGGCCAGGGAGATCGATGGCCAATTTCTTTGTCTTAGCATCCCAGACCTTCAGCGTGCTGTCACTGCTCCCACTCACCAGCAAGCGGCTGTCTGCTGACCAGGCGATCTGATACACCGCTGAGACGTGCCCTCTCAGCGACGTGAGGTACCTGGCGCGAAGGAGGCACCAAGAAGCTGTTAGATGAGCAGGCAGCTGGGTTTCTTCCAACCCGTCCTTGCCCTGCCTTCATGTTTCTTCTCTGGCTCCTAGCAAGCAAGGTCACAGGATGCCCAGCACACCCCGAGCCAGCGTGCATGCTTTGTACACATAAGGCAATCGACTGCTGGTGATTCAGTCTGTCTAGAAACCCTCCGAGATGAGCTCACAGGCTTCCAGAGGACAAGCCCTTCACATTGACCCCTCTGCTGAGAAACCCTGATCAATCAGGGAACACCACAGCCTTACGGTACAGATGCATCCTTCCTCTCTCTACCTGAGCAAACACACACCTGGACTCCTTCAGGACGTAGGAAGGCCGCTAAATCACTGATTACTAATTACAACTGCAGAACAAAGGAAGGACTGCTGCCCTAGAGAGCTCAGTGATACTCTAGCAGGAGGTCAGAACTTGGGTTACAGGGGCACCCAAACACCAACAGCACCCCTTGCAACTGCAAGAAAGAATTTGCATCACCCCAAACAAGGTGTTCTCTGGCACAGGCACTGTTTAAACAGGATCAGTCTACCGTGCACATCTGTAACGGGACAAAAAAACTCACTTTCCTGTCCTACCATCCCAGAGCTTTATGGACTTGTCAAAGGAAGCACTAGCTATTATCCGAGTGTCTGGCGAGAAGAGGACTTGGTTGATCAATGCCTGGTGGCCTGTCATTCTCTCCAGCGGCTTCTTGTCTTCTGCTGGCCTCCAAAGAAACAATGTGAAATCATCTGACCCCGAGACGAGCCTTTCTGGCCCCTGGCCCTGAGAAAGGGAGGAAAGAGCCTAAGTCTTGTACAAGCCAGGCTTGGGGAGCTCGTAAAAACATACCCAGTGTTGGGGTCAACAGCCAACTGCACACATTTATTGCTTCCATCAAGAAAATAAAATGCAGTAGGGGCAAACTGCCCAGTGTGGACTTACCCTGACTTGGTCATACCTCTGCTGTGCCTTGTCCTTCAACTCTGCCACTGGAAAAGGAAAAGGGGGAGGGGGAAATCCTTAGGTGAAAGGAAACTTCATAACCCTGTGACGCCACCTCCACTCCAGGGTCCTTGGGCCAAGCAGACGTATTTGTAACTGCTCACCCACTTCCTCTTTGCTAAGGACCACAGCGGGGGCAAAAGCCATTGAGCACAGGGCGGCCTTCACAATCCGCCCACTGCAGGACTCTCTGCACAGGCAGGGAGGACCGTGGCTGTTGGCACGGCCAACACCAGCCCAGGGCCTGCTCCCAGCTCTCAGGATGGTTTCGCTTTGCGGCAGCACTAAGAGGAGACACCAGCTCTCCTCACTGCATCCCAGAGCTCCTGTCCTTCCCATCGCCTACCCCAGCCTACAACGCAGGTGGTGCACTTACAGGAGCCGCTCACGTCCTGTGGGTTGATGGAGGCTTCGGCGGGTTCGAAGGCCCCAGTGCGGAGAACGTAGTCGGTGCTAAGAGCCATGGTGTTCACCCAGTGAGCGTGGCCCTGCAACGTGCGGCAGAGGACGCCCTGGAAACAAAACCACCCGCTTAGAGAGGGGCAGGCAGGACAGAGCCAGACTGCACAGGACCTGCCAAACCCATCGTGCTACCAGGACCATCCCAAAACTTTCCAAGCCCTCTTAGCCAAGCGGCAGATAGGACTGCAGTCACGCTGGCTGGGAAGAAATGGTGCTGTTGAACCTCTGGGATAGGTTTCCAGTAGAGCCTTGCAAGGAACCCACCAGGACAGGTCACTCCAGGGTGTTTCCAGCTTTTAAGGCCATTTTACGCTTTTAGAGATGAAAATATTTGCTTGCGTAACAGCTACCCCCTCCCAATGGCGTTAACCGAGGGGGTGAGAGGACACAGCACCCAGGCTGCAGCTGCGTTTTCCAGGGCACGATCCGTGCCGGGGCGAGCGGACAGGGAGAGAAAACGCAGCCGCTCCAGCGCAGCGTGCGCAGCCCCCTCCGCCGGCGGCCCCAGGGCTGCCTGTCCGCCCGTCTCACTCACGTCCTGGCTCCTCCAGACTTTGATGGTCCTGTCCTGGGAGGAGGAGTAGAGCAGGCCATCTCCCCCCCACTTCACGCACGTCACCGACTGCGTGTGGCCTGTGAGGATTTTGTCACATCTGCCCATCAGCGTGTCCCAGATGCGGACGCTGCCGTCCTTGGAGGCGCTCGCCAGGTAGCGGCACTCGGGGTTTCTGGGAGGAGAGAAGACCGCACGCGGCTGCAGAGCCCACACACCTCCTCCACCAAGATCTTGCCCGCAGCAGTCCCAGAGCATTTAAGGATCCAGAAGTCAATACAAGAAAACTTTCTCTTTTGGCTTAAAACCAGAGAGGCCAGGCAGGATCACAGAGCCGATCTACAGGGAACAAGACGCTGCAAGGCCCGGCAGAGGCAGACAGAGG